GATAACAGTGTAGCATGTTTTGTGTTAGATATCGTCGCTCATCTGTTTCAGATACAATTAATTAATAACTTTTTTGACTGGCTAGACGTCAAATCGTAAATTTCGATTGAATTTCTTCATTCAAACCTATGTCTCAAAAGATAAGGAATTATAACATTTGTTAGACTAAATGATCCTACACTTTTATATTCTGGAGGCATTTAGCTGAAAAATCTGCTTCGATTTTTTATTATTATTCAAGTACCCATAATTTGAACAATTCTGCATATCTTCACCCGCTTTACAATTCTTGACATTTCTACTTGGTAGCTTTAGCTGATTATTTCAAGTTTTCAAAATTCTCCTGTATCGATTTTATTTTCTTATAAAAAAAAGAAACGGAGTTGTTTCGTTGCTTTTTGATATTTTAAAACTGTTCTTTAAATCTTTTTTGTGTGTTCTTGTATATGTCGTTCCGTCAATAATCCAGACATTCAGCAATGCTACGTCGATCCCTCGGTCAGATTCGATTCTGTAAGCACGATTTTCTTCCATTTCACTTCATTCACTTAATATGAGTGAATACAGACTGCCAGAAGGTGGATCCAACGCAAGCGTTCGATTTTGTACCTGCTACAAGTCACGATATGCCCGATATTGTCGACTTATGCACTAAGAAATTTATACATGACGAACCTCATTCGAAGGTAAGGACAATGCTCTTAGCTTGAGATTTTTAGAGTTATAAAGCTTTTTTTTCACCTTTTCAAAAAATCCCAAGCTTTTTATGCGTTTGTCTAACAGCGCAATTCGAAGCTTTTTTACGCTAACGAACATTGTGAGAATCAGCTACAATTTCAGGCCTTAGGAATGACAGCCGAAGCCTCAAAGGGACTTTTTGAGTACATTGTGTCGAAAGCTTTGCACTATCCCTATTCATATCGGATACACGAAAAGGTATGGTTCTTCATCTATAAGTAAATAAATAAACGAGTAATTGTATGAGTGAAGAAATGAATTAATGAATGAAGGACTGAATTTTTAATTCAAAAAATCCTCGCTTTTTCTAAGAAATTACGCGTATTCAGGGAACGAAGAATTTAATCGGCTTTCGCCTTCTATCTATTGGACACCGAGATCACAGCTTAGATGTCGAACCTATGGCTTTTGTTCCATCTAATTTCCCAGCAGTAATCCGCCTCTGTAAGTTTCACACCTGCTTGAGTCTGCATATTGAGAATGAAGGACGTTTTCGGTGAACTGTTGGATGAGTCAAAGGAAAGGTTTTGGAAGGTCGTAGATCCTTCAATACACAAAGTTCTACGTCGTGAAATTACATACGTAATTCCAAAGCATCAACGAAAAGGCATCGCTAATTATCTACTAC